TCGTTTGTTTGCATGTCTGATATGATATAAAGCATTTTGTTGATTGGAATGATTTTTTGGATGGGAAGAAGGATGATTCATGCGTTTTGCTCGGTTGATTGGAACGAAGGCAGCGGCAGCTGCAACAGCCATAGCAATAACAATGATTACCGCGAGGCGAACAATACCCAAACACCATTAGCGATGATCAGCAGTGACAACGGCATCAGCAAGGCATAAGGGCAATTGCATGGTTGTCGAGTTGGCGCAGCAGCAACAGCAACGGCAGCAGCAGCAGCTAGAGCAGAGCTCTTAATGGTTCAGGTGCAGAAAAAAAATCGATTTTTTTCTCACAGATGTTACTATGACTGCCAGTGCTCTGCCGTCACAGCAAATTGGGGGTGGCTGTAGTTGCTCTGCATCCGTTCTTTCATCCCTGTCTTGCTATCTCATCGTCCCATTTTCAGTCAACTCAGATCGCAGTTCGTCCTCACTGTTTCATCCTTTACAGCAGTTTTTGCTGGACGATTTCTTTCACTCTTTTTTCATATTGAATTTATTGGTCTGGTGGTCCAAATTTTTTTATCAGCGATATGAGATTGAATTCCGTTTATTTTATAATTTTACGCATCTGTCAGATTCTTTATTTTCATATTTGTTTATGGTTTGACGCCATTTTCCGTTTACATGATTGCGTTTACAGATCATCCAACAGAATCTATTCTAATTCATATTAAAGTATATGCTCTTATAAACAAATAGAAAAAAAGAAGGAAGTTCCTGCTGTCCAAAGCTGACTTTTGGGTCGTTCATTTTTTGCATCTGTTTGGCATTTTTCTCGTTTTTGTTTAACTCGGTTCGCACAGCTACCTGCCAGATGAATTCATCGGTTTTTTCGTTATTAAAACCGCTACGTTTAACGGCTATATCAGTAAGCCGCAAGGAAGTGGCATTTCGACGTTAATGTTCGTGAAGAGGGCATTTGTTTTATTCATTTCGAGGATTACTTACATTTAATATCATCCTCTCTGATAGTCATGGTTGTGCATCCGTCACACTTTAAGCGGCCTTCTTCATTGGCTTTAAAGAGCCAAGGTAAGCGCTGGTTTTGTTCCCTTTCTTTCTTCTCCTGGTGACGTTTATATAGTTTTTTTTGTAGTTAGAACTGATGAGTCATTGTTTTTCTTCATTCCCACTGCAGTATTTTAATTTTGCGTTGAAGGTTTTTTTGGTCAATTTTTAATTTTTCTTGGTCTGCGGTCTTTAACTTCTTATAAGTCTTCGTAGCCGAAAAGTTGTTCTTCTCATTGACAAAGTAGTAGTCATTTTTTATCACCTCTGGTTATTTACAGTATTTTTTTGGTGTTCTTTTTATTTCACTCCAGTCCTGGCGTTGTTTGACAAAACCAGCGTTCACAGCATCATTATTCAGTTTATCTATATAGTTTTTTCTCTTTAGTCACCGAAGTCAGAAATAACTGAAATTTACTTCAGAGTAATACTGTTCATCGAGAGCTGCTTGTAGGGAAACGACATGTTTAACCAGTTTGCAAAATTTCTTTCTGACTATTATTTCTTACTGTAATAAATTAGGTTTTTAAGTGCAAGTTTTTTACACTTCAGAAGAAGTTCATGCGCTTTTACGCGATTTATATTCCCTCTAGTTACATCAAAAGAGTCTTAGGTGAAAGAGCTTACATCAGAAGTTTGTGCTTGTTTGATACTGAGTCACTTTTACCGCAGAAAATTTAGGTGGGTTTGCGGATTTTCATCGTCGTTTCCCACAGCTGTGCGAAAGTTCCAATAATTCTCGAAGTTTGGATCTGTCACAAACAGAGATGTTGCAGCCCAATTGTAGTTCTTTGCCAATTATTCCGAAAGGGCCTACGAAGATATTGCCGTTCTTGTATCTTGGGTCTGAGAAGGATGCAGTAGACACTGAGACCTTGGAGGTGAGCTACTTTTTTAGGGTAGTTGCCAATTATCACTTAGAATTTATTGGTGGTGTTTTCTTCGAAGCAAATTAAATTACATACGGATATTTCAAGTTTGTTCGATTAAACATGAAGAAGAAAAAAGCTGGTCATAAGAAGAGGCTGTGGGTTTTTTAGAAATATGGCATCAAATATGTCATCAACATTAGTGTTGACTGCCCCCAGTCTGAATGTGTGAAACAAGACGGTCATTTTATGAGGATCCCGATCAATGATTCTTACGGTGAAAAGTTGTTGCCGTATTTTAACGATGCTTTCAAATTCTTAGGTAATCGTGAGTGTTATTGAGTGCTTATTGATTTCTTGTTCCTGTCATTGATTTGTTAGAGTTGTTACTGAAAATGAAGTTATATTGAGTAATGGTATAGCTTAATTTTAGATAAAGTGTCTCAGAGCGGTTCCGTTGTTCTCATTCATTGTTTGGCTGGTATTTCACGCAGTCCTACTCTGGCAATAGCATACGTAATGAGGCAAAATAAGTGGTCTGCAGAAAAAGCTTATAGGTTGGTAATGATAATGTTTCCTTTATTCCTAGAGAAAATATGAAGTTAGGTATTATGTTGTTTGTTGCATTGCTGAGTCTAAATTGTTCCTGAAATTTTGCGTATTGGCTCATGTAATATAGTAAAACTGTCGAAAGTCTGTTTCTGTTACTAGTTTTATCTTTATGTTACTGATGAGTAGTAGTAGATAACCTTTATATTTTTCATAGCCTTACTGTGGGTTTTCAAAATGTTACAGGTTTGTCAAAGAAAAAAGGCCGTCAGTTGCGCCCAACTTCAATTTTATGGGGCAATTATTGGACTATGAGAAGCAGTTGATAGCAAAGTGTGGGACTTTGGCATCTTTCGCTGCTGAAGATTCTCCTAATATGCCTTTTTCGTCAGGCGGGTCTGGCAAAGCTAAAAAAAGTGTATGTTTTTCTTAAAAGTTGATTTAAATTGCTTTGATGACCGAAAGCTTTTCAGCATATTATTTCCATTTCAGAAATTGGTTGATGAAGAGTTTACTGCAAAAGTAGCGAAGCCGAGCGGTTGCAACACAAATCCGTCAAAAGTTGAAGTTGTTCGTCCGCGTGGTCTGTGGGAAAGTGAAATGAAGGAACCTTCATCTAAAACTAACATGAACGGGAAAAGGGTCATGGAAACAACTGCAGCGAGTCTCAACGATCACCAAAAAAACAGAGTTTTTGCGAATTATGTTCTTCCGAATCACATCGATCGTCCGAGCGCTTTAAGTTGCTTAAAAGCTCGTAAAGCTGTGTATAAGCCGCAGGCGGCTGATGAATTACCATCTCCTTCTGCAGAATTTTCGAAGCTCTCATTCACCCCCTCACCAGGTGTTGAATTGTCTGCTTCCAACCCATTTTTTCCATCATGTTCGACTTCAGCTATACGTTTGCCTTCGCCGACTGCTTCACTCTCAGCTGAGAACCCCAGTTTCCAAGGCCCAGAATCCTTTCAGAAGGGCATGCTGGGGAACGGTGATAATGAACGTTTTCCTTTTTTTTATGATTGTTATTCTCATTGTTCGAAAAGAATTAATTGTCTTTCAAGCAGTACTACTTTAGAAACCTCTTTAGCTTCAAGGTCTTCTCTTTTGAATTCACTAGCCAGTGCTCCGCCTATGTTAAATGCTTCTCCACTTTCTAATTCTTCAGTAAAATCGCACAGTGAGTATGAATGTCAACAAGATAGTCCCGAATCTGGCTTTGTAGATAATGTGGAAGATTATTCCGGAAAGTCAATTGCAGTTAATCAAGTAAAGTTTCCTAAAGAACCGGACCCCTATCGGGATGCTGATCGGGAGTCACTTGGGTCTACGGGCAGTTTAGAAATTATTGTTAAATAGCTGTAAATTATTGTTAACCAGCGTTATGTTTTACTTCAAATTCACTTTTTTGAAAATTTTTCAGGAAATTTTTTGATTGATTAGTTGTGTATCATTTATGTTTGTTGTTGTTGATTATTGAATTATTTTCATTTGCGATGAGCTGTGTCGTTGAGTCAGGAACCTACATAGTAGGAAAAGAACAGTCCTGAGGTTTTTTTTAGAATCAGTCAAATTTGTTGAAAATAGTGAATGAGTCAATGAGCTTATCACTGCTGCTAAAAGAATTGTCAAAGTAACTTATAGTATTTTATGATTGCATAAAGATTATTAACAGTATTAACGTTGTCGCTTCAAGTAAAAGGATAGTGGAGTTGGGAGGAGTATTTGATGAGATCTTACCGGAGTGGGTAAAGTGGGTAACTTTTGAGAGAATAGTTTGTATGGATATTTCCTGGCTGTTTATCGATTGCATGAAGCTCGTTTTTCGGTTTTTAACAGCGGCAGAATTTTTGTAACTGCTGTCAGTTATTCGCGTTGAGTTTGGTGATCGGTAAGTGGTGAGCGGTGTGTTTGTTGTACCCTCTTTTTGGAACGTTCTGGAAGGGGGGGTTCTGTAGTTTTGAGCGACTAATTAGAGGGTCTTTTTTCATTATCTAATTTGCAGGTCGCCGTTATGTTGCGAGGCACTCATTGCCACGAATTACTCAATTTGTAGACAGGCGAGGTAGTAGTAGAGGACGGGTTGCGTGGCTTTTTGTTTTGACCAATATTTCTTTGGTGACAGAAATTCTGCTTATCTGGTTCTTGCTGAGAACTTGGGTATTTATGTTGCGGCTAACTGACAAGTCACTTATTCAGTAGTGGCAAATACATTTTAGTGGAGGACTGTAGCGCAGATTTACGTGTTATGCAACGAGTCCCTAGCATACCTAACTTTTGCTCAACACGAATAAGGCACCACCATTTGATTCCTTGTGAGATAACTATGCTGTAATGAATAATAGTGATCAGTTTTGAAAAGTAGGAGGTTATCTTTCAAATTAAAGTGATTTAACAGTATAGTTTCTGACGTGAAAACAAAAAGACTGCTGTGTGAGCACGTCTATGAAGACCTAAGCTTTGTCAAAGAAACAAAGTTTAATGGAAATACAGTGACAGAGGTTAATGCAAGGAGAAATGTTGTTTTGGGAATTTGACGTCGTCTTCGCCACGGCATAGCTAACAAGTGTTTAAACGCTCGGATTTGAGGAGGCTGAATTAGTGGCTGTAAATTTTTGAAGATATTATACCGATGCAGAAGAAGTGAAATTTGTCTAACAGTAAAAAGAGCATCCCAGTCTTCATCTAATGCAGGGAGTTTTGTGAATTGAATCCATTTGGTTGCAGCGATGTTAACTGTGCATTTTCTGCAGCATATTAGGAAGCAACTTTTCTTTCTTATTCTTCTAGCAAAGGAGAAGCCACATTGGCGCTCCTTGCGTTAACGGCTTTCCAAAAATTAGACTACCTTGTGACAGGTCAGAGGTATGCGTGAAAGACCCATAGTTTCTCAGAGAATCAGGTGTTGCTGGATGGTGTTTTTCCATTTGGCTCCTAAAGTGGTAAAGCGCAGTGTCTCCGCATAGTTCTCCAAATCCCTAGATGCATGGTTGCGGAAGTGCCCTCCGCCCTCACGGCATGATTTATGAATTTCTGTGAAACTCTGCCGTAGAGAATCAATGGTGATGGTGCAGGGACCGGATTAAGGATCAGTGAAATGTGGACTGTGGTGCAGTTCGATGGTGAGACCTGTAAAAAACAAGTAGTTTTATACACCAAAACCTTGTCGTTCAGTTTTTTCCGGTGGTCCAGTAGTTGCCTCAAATTTAGTGAACCTTTATTGGTTCACTATATCGACAAGGGTTAATAGTGAACAATTAAGCTTAACTTTCAAAAAAGTCTTTAGATTTAAAAAATTGTAAAAGACAGAAGCAGAGCCTGAAAAATACATCTGGTCGTGCGAACCGATCAAGCAAAACTTAATTAGAAATACAACTGACTCATGCAATTTGTTAGCAAACCATTATGTTTTCAGGCAACGTCTGACGCTTAACGTTTTAGCACTGTTTTTCTACAATGAACACTCCTTTTTACTGTTGTATCACTTGCCTACGACATCAACATCTCTCTGGCACATGCTCGATAGCGCTGTATGTCACAGAGTGGTCAAACGCTACAGTACATTTTTTAGTTGTCATAGTCGTTCAAAGAAAAATGTATTGCATGATCAACGAGAGAAGAGTTGCAGCATCTCGTTGCTGCATTGGAACAACAAAACGCTTGTTGATCTGTCTCTTGATAACACAAAACGCCACTGCTGCTTTTTGTGCCTACCGCTGTTGTACTTTTTCTTGATAAGAGTCATTTCATTCATCTTCACTGCCTCATTGTGACCTCCGATCACAAAAAGTTGTTTTTGGAAATGTTCTACGCAAAAGTCCTAAAAAAATTTTATCTAATTAACTATAAATTAAGAGAGCTACGTTTGCTCCCCGCCTAACGGGCCATTTTAGATACGAGATTTATGTATGTAAGCCTCCGCTATATAGCTCATTGTCAAAAAAGGCAAAATCTATCTTTCAAGCTTAATTTAGGTGTCCTGAATAATTTGCCGTTACAGAAATCGAGTTTCTTGCTTTACACTTTCTCATTGCATCTGTTCTTTACACTCCACCCTTATTTTGTTGTCATAGTCATACTCACGTCGTTGAAATGAAGCGAAAAAAAAAATAAGTGTTATACGGAAGGCATACACTTTTCAGTCTTTTTCTGAAAAGGGAACTTCTCATTGAGCGCCGATTATTTCAGAGGTATCCAGAGATATTTTGATCTGACGTGGTCTTGTATAACCCGGGTGTATAAAACAAAAAACCGATTATCATCACTTGCTTGAAACGAAACCTATATATGATGACGATTTCTTCGGCTTAGAATGCTCAGAGCACATAACCACGGTTCCTAGACTCAAAACTGATACAGGCTAAAACTAATAACAAGCTAATAAATTTGACACAAAAAATTTGTGACTAATCTGCTAGCCTATTTCAAAATACAATTCTTTAGATTTAACTGAAGAATTACAGGTCGCAGCATAGAGGAGGAAATTTTGAGAGACATTCAATTTTCAAACACTTCAGCAATATACTACATTTTCTAACGTAAATCAGTCTCTTTTGCATTCAGCTGAATTAATTTTGTTGCTGATATGCCAGAAGATGTATCGAAAGATTATCTTGCCAGAATTCCAAATGATTTTTTACCAAAAAATACAATTAAACTTTGGAAAAAATATCATTACCACATAACCGTCTTTCTAAACTTACTAATTGTCTTATTATTAATCGTTTAAGCGCTTTATGGGACATCGTTAGCACAAAAATCATAAAGCTTATACGTGGCTGATGTAAAAAAACAACGATGTAAGCCTTCAGTTTTTTAGTAAAAATTATAGCGACTTTAGGTCACATTAAGGTCGAGTGAATTCAGCTACTTCTGATAGCAAGTTTCTGACTCAGTTTCTGGTGAAAATTTAGCACCTGTTAAAAAACTTGTTTAAGCACCAAACAAAAGGGTTCTGTCCAAGTAAGCATTTCTTTAGAGTTTCAATCGTGGTTGAATAAAGCACAGAATTAGTTGTATGTTGGATTAATTATTTTAAAAAAATTAGAAATACATAGAGATAAGTTTTTAGTGCTTCTACTGTTACTGGCGCCAATGTTAAGGTGAATTCGAAACAAATGTAGCACTTTTACCAAAGAAAATTGCTACCTACTTTGATAGTGATAAAAAAATAAATCTATAAACGGATTAAGTGAATGATGAAAAACTAACTAATTCGCCTAAATTTTGAGAACTACACATTTTTTAAAAACTTTAAAAATTATAAAACTTAATCGTGTGTTTAATTAATAACCGTACTAAATTAAGCCGCTGCGTCTTTCACGTGAAGGTGTAAATAACAGAAAGTAAGTCTAGATTAGGTAAAAAATTTTTAATGAGCAGTATGTTCTAATGTTTTCACAGTTTTGTAACAAAAAAATTTGTTGCCATGAAAAGTCATTCCGCCTCAATTTTATAAAATTGGTCATATTCTTGAAATTGGTCATATTCTTCTTAAAATTTTATACAATAAAAAAGTATAAGAGAAGTAAGAGAAAACACAATTTCTAAATTGACATTTTGTTATTTTACTAAAGAAGTGACGAGAGAACCAAAGGTCTCTGCCACGGCTTCTGCGGACATAAAGCTTTTTTTTTTCTTTTAAATTATAGTTTTATCTGACACTTAAAGCCAATTTGTCTCCTGCTTAAGTTTTTAAATTATAGAAAACAAGTCATCGTTGTTTTACTCTAGATCCAATAGCAGATGCTCTAAGAACTCTAGCTTGGTTACAAAAAATAGACAGTCTAGCATTTTCACTTTAATCTACCTGGTTTTGCAGACTCATAAGTAGTAGAAGTAGTATCTGCACTTCTTCTACAGTAATTAGTGAGGCAGTCTTTACAAGCCAGCATAAACTGACTCTGCCTACCAGGTCTTTTTATATCATAGCAAGATTTTCTAACTCTTGTTATTTGACTACTCTCGTATTTCTATTATTTTGAAATCGTTGTTCAAATTTTTGGAAGGCAAATGGTTAAAAAACAAAGTCAGCTTTTTTCATTTATTTTACCCGAACTTTTCATTTTCTGCATCTATTTTCAAAACTTAAATTTTTGCTTTTTTATATATTTGTTTTACCGCGTAACTTTTCACAGTCTAAATTTCTAAGACATATTTCTGTTTTTTATTGTCTTTCTCAGTTTTTTTGCTTTTCTAGATTTTATAAAAAGCTTTGTAATCAAAATTTACCACCCTCCCAAAGTTAAAAAGCATGACTCAAAACCTAAATTCTTTCCAAACTAGTTTTTCAAACTAAAGTCTAAACAGAACTTGGAGATAATTTATCATTTTATAAGGTTGAACTTGTTCAAGGAGTCGTCGTTGCCCTTTTAAGCACGATAGTACAGCAGATTGGAGGTGAAGTGGTACAATTTAGAATTAATCGTTGAAAGCAAGAACTCTAGCACCAATAAAAGCTGTTGTTGTGTGAAGCAACTGTTTTGCCGGACTTGTCAACAAACTACTTTGAAAAATGTACATAACATATATTTGATTTCATTTAAAACTATTTTTTACACTTGCTTTTATTTTCACAAACCGGTATATTGATTTCAAACAACGTATGTTATCCAGCCGTTTTTACAGATAAGTCAATTATCGATAAAGAAATGGAACAAAACCCGAATGAGCTCCTAAAAAAAACAGGTAAAATTTAAAAAAAAATTTTTTTTTTGTGAAAAAAAAGCTTTTGCTATATAATGTATAATTTTTTGACATACCAAATCTGGGAAAGCCACTATATCCAAATCCTGAACCGAAATTAATCCTTGGTATATAGCCCCAACCGGGCGTAAAATAAAAAGGGTGAAACGGAGGGAAAAATGGATGACTGTTCCATGGTCCTCCATAACCATTATGCCAGAATGGTCCGGACGGCCAGTTTGGTCGTGGTGGGATTACCGGAACGTTCGTTGGTTGTGCAGGGATCCAAGGAGGTGTCTGAGTTCCTGGTGTGATCCAAGGAGGTGTTTGAGTTTCTGGTGAGATCCAAGGAGGTGTCTGAGTTCCTGGTGTGTTCCAAGGAGGTGTCTGAGTTCCTGGTGTGTTTGAGTTTGACCCTCAATAGGAAAAAATATCTGCCTCTCTTTTCTTATTTTACATTTATCAGTGTATAAATCAACAACTTATCGGTATCAGGTAAAACGCAAGATCTTATTTGGAGAAGTATATTTTTGAAAGCTATTATACGGTCTCATGCTTATTGGACTCACCGTAGAGTGCCTGGATTCTCTTGATATCATCCTCACGGAGTTCTGGCTCTTTGTAGTTTCCGAGATCATCTAAGGGTTCTTGGTAAAAAGGAGCCATTAGAGACTTATAATCGTTAGAATGCTCTAAACCGAGAACGTGGCCAATCTCATGTGCTGCCACAGAAACAATGTCAGAGTATTCTTCCCTAAAAACGCAGTCTGAATGCATCGTTTTATTTGAGTGTTGTAATAAAATATTCTAAACAGCAAAAGATCGCTTCTTGAATTGATTTAGCTGTGAAATATTGCAATTTGAGATAAGATATAGAGTTTGGGCACTCATGCAGAAAATAGGAACTTTTACAAAGTTCAAGTTTTATATACTGTGTGCAAAACTCCTATTTCTAACAGTTAATAAGAACAAACATCTTACTTTAATTTTGCAACGTCTCTGACGGTCCATAACTCGTCATCATCAAAATGAAGGAATTTTTCGCCTAACACGTATGGCAGTGTTGCATGCGCCAATATGCCACCTTAATTTGCAAGTCAGTCATAGCAGAAATGTTTTAAGAGAGTGCTATCTTAACTCTGTTCCGCAGATGGTTTAGTTTGGCTAAGTTTTGACGAAATAAACCACTTCTTAGTCGATGCTTCTGCACGATAATATTTTTTAAAATCAAAAAGCGTAACTGACCTCTGCCGTCAAATGGCCATCTGTCACCATGGTTTCTAGCACCGAATTTAATGTTTACGTCGCTGTTCGCATTAACTAATTGGAATTTCAGTGGCGTTACTGCTGCCCATTTCTCGAAAGACTCTTGTATAGCTTTCCTAAATTGAGTTGAAAGATTTTGAAGTATTAAACTAGTTTACAGATATTTCTTGAATTAATCTTTTTGAATAAAGCTAAAAAATACCGCTTGATTGCTCAAAGAAAAGTTTCAGGTAAATTGTATTGGTGAGACCGGAAAGTGATTCGTGACCTAGTAAAAAAAAAAAAAAGGGTGGAAAAGGTACACGAATAAATTCAAAATGGCAAGGATATTATAGATTCAGAACAAAAATGATCTTTGTCTGCGATGCAAAATATAAAATCTTGTTCACTCTAATTTTTAGACAGTTATCAAGAAGTTTGAGCAATTTATTTATTGTATGTAATTGTTATTGTAAAAATTAAACACACAATTTATTAGCGCAACATACACTAAGATGTTCATAGTAGTGTATGTTGCGCTAATAAATTGTGTTTTTAATAACTGAGGAAAGATAGTTAGTATAAAGAAACGGTGAAATGAATTGAGAACGTTTTTACACCTTTCTTATTCTGGACGTCTTCAGAATTAACTTTCGTAACTTAACTTTTCTTACCACCGACCTAGCGTTGTGCTGACAAATTTAACTGGTTGATGTGAGTCTGGGACAGACAAAGAGTAAACTTATGTATCCATTGAATTTTTGTCGCAACTGTCTTGCATGGCAAGATATCAAACATTAATTGAGGAACTGGAAGGCTCGGTAGAAATTAATAATTGCACTCAGATTCATCAGAAAACTAAAGTGGTTTTTGCCATCATCGCTAGCATTCCTGCTGAGCCCGGGTATTTCGAAGAAAGCAGTTAAAACTTTTACTTGATTTGCTCTGGCAATATTCCTTCAGTGCTGGCATAGTTTTCAATAGTGTAGGTCAGGTGTGTTTTATTCCATTTTGAATCGATGTTGGAAACTGTAAAGATATTTGATACAGCGGAAAATAACTATTACTTTTAGAAAGATATAAACTTTACGTCAAATAGTTAAAATCTTCTCAATCTAGATGAGGTTTATTTGCATACCTTCTATTCATATTTGTTATGTATATCTTGAAATAAAGAATTAGATTCAGTAAAGTTCTCAAAGTACTAGCAACGTTAATAATTCTGTAAACTTCTGATTAAGCAAGCTTATATTGAAAACTTACCGCGGACAGCTTGAATGTCTGGGAGACCGCACCTACGTTGTGACATTTTTTTTCTAGTGGCCTCATCTAGTTTTCCAGTAACATTTAATCCTACCATTCGTTGAAATTTTCTGGAAAATTCATCTCACATTAAAGTAATGGAAATTTTTATCTGCTTATCTGAAGCTTTTGCATTAGACTGTGTGAATTGAAGTCAGAAAAGACGAATGAATTTGACGATTAAATGCGATGGATTTTATCCATACTTGCGTTTTCTGAGTAGTGCGACTGACTGCTGCAGTAACACTTAGTCACTGCCAATATTGAAAACCAAAGTAATACCAGAAGACTGCGTTGAAAATATTTAAATTTTGTTAAGAATAAAGAAATTTTTTTGCTTGCACAACTTTTAATACTAACAGAAAATCAAATCGTTTGTTTTTCAAAATCTTAATAGAATTAGTAGAAAGGGATTATACCTTTTTAATAGCTAAAAGTTAAACAAATTAAGATATTTTTTAAATGTAGGATAACTAGATAACTACTTTTTGTTTCTCCTGTCAGTGACAGATAAATTGCACCTTAAAAATTTAAAAATTGCGATAAATTTTTTAAAATTTTCATTTAGTAAAATTTATATATCTTGATGCATAAAGAAGTGAAATATAATTTTCAACAATAGTAGTAGATAAAGGTTTGAAACTTCAACACTAATTTCAATATGTGAAGAACATGGCTTTCTCCCAACCATATTAAAACGATGTCGAACAGTCTAATTTCCGGGACTTACGCAAACTTTGCTGTAACCTTCTAAAAAAATTTTTATTTCTTAAAAATTTATTGTATTGAAATTTTTTTCTATAATCTCTCAATAATTTAAAAATTTTGCTTATATTTACTTATTTAAATCGATCGATTTATTAAAGTGGTTTTAGAAATAATTAAGAAGTTGATTAGGTTTTTTAGATTCTATATATTTACCTGAACAATTATTGTAGCTCAAAAGAAATATGTAGAAAAGACTTGAAAAAAATAAGTTTTCACTTTTACTGCCAATTTTCTTATCTCCCATTAAGATTATCATTACTGATGTTTTCGTAATAAACGTCTTTTTGTACATTTGCGGGATAAGAAAAAAGGTTGGTATATAAATGCAGTGCCCATTTAGGCGGTTTGTCGCTTCGGATGCTGTTTTCATCAGCTTCGCTGTTCTGACATTTTGGCTAAGTCAGGACGAAATAGCGTTGATTGCTTTTTTTCATCTCGTTTATTAAGAGGTGTTTTTTTAAAAAAATTAGTTGTTACGGCAGTTGATAACGTTTACATAAAAAGAACTTTTCTGACGCTAATCATGACCGAGGTAATGAAGACCATCTGCTTATAATGAGCATCTGCTACTATATAATAACTGAAAGAAGACAGAACGCTGATTAAAGAGTAGTTTCTAGCAGTTTATTTGGATGACTTTTAGTAATGCGTGTATCTTACTTTTCAAGTTTTTTGTTACTTGCCATTACCACCCAACGATTCTAAGGCACTTATTCAGAAAGAAACTTTCAGTGATTCATGGCATGTGAAAAAACTGCCTGTACACATTGTTTGGCGTTTAGATTTTTTAATCCTCAAGTTACTGGATTGCCAAGCTGATTCACGTTGACAATCACATAACTATTCTAGCATCTATATCTACGAATAATTCTGAACGAAAATAAAGCATTAATCTACTGAAGTAAATGACGACAATTAAAAATTTTTTTTCAACCAGCTTAATATGTATCGGTAATGCGATCTTTTGTCTTTGTTTCAGTAATATGTTAGCCATGACAGAACATAGAATATTGCAATATTTTTAGACTATAAAACTTATTAAAATCAATTTTTGACGAATTTCCTTACTTCTTAATTCTGTTTCGCAATATAGAATTCCTTATGAAATTTTGCTTAAAAAAAGAACAAAATTTTAAGATAAAATGTGAAAAAATCTAAAACTTTTTCATCTTTCAATACTTGGACACAGGTCTTCTTGTTACGGTCATTGTTGGCTAACTTACATTAAACCGTTGTGGAACCTCCTTTCCTCTTCCTGCTCTTCTATTCTTCGGAACGATTTTACTTTGTGGCTAACATGTTTTTCTAAGTAACCAAACTTTGACAGGTATTCCTGAAATAAAAACTGGTAAAAGTTTATGCATGGAAAATGGTCTAGAATTATCAAAATTACATTTCTTATGATATTTTGCTTAAAAGAAGAACAAAATTTCGAGATAAAACGTTAATAAAAATTCACTATAAAATATTGTTATTTTTTTGTTCACGCTGTTTTCAGCAACGTACTTTTGCTGCCTGCTCTTCAATTGATAAAGCAGAGGTTTCTGCCAATGAAACTGTTGCGATAGTCAACGGTAGAATTAGTAATAACAGCATCTAAAAAGTTATTAGTTATAAATTAAGGTTGAATTCGGTGTTATGGTTAAAATATTGTAATCAGCTATCGAAGAGAGGAAGAAACAAGAAAAAGTGGTTTCAACAAACTAAGGTCTTTGTCGGGCGTTTGTCAAATTACCGTTAATTATTAGTAAAATCTTCTGATTCTAAACAAAAAATGCTTATATGATTGGTTATCAGTAACAAGATGACTCAATTATGACAAATGATGATGTTACCGCAAACGTTAAAATGATTTTAGAGCTGTTTAATCTAAAAGGTAATACGCGGAGTAAAGTGAATGAAAAATTAAAAATAAATTTCTTTTCATTTCTTTATTTATTTTACTAAATAAAAAATTTGAAGAGAAAGCGGAATTTAAAGATAAAAAGAACAAAAGAAACACAAAAAAATTTCTCATTCTTCCAAATCTCTTGTTGTTGTAAAGTCAAGTTTATTTCTAAAAGCAGAAGCAAAGGATAAGAAAAAGTAGTCTTTTTTAGGTTTATCGACAGAATCTTTTTGCGACAAATTATTACAAAATCAATCAAAAAAGAAACAGTATTGCAGTGACGGAAAAGCCGATAGAAGAAATAAGCTGTTTTACTTATTTATAGTTAAACGTAGTCATTGAACGAATCAATCTGTATGAATAAGGCACGTTTTTACGATCTTTTTCCAGCCAACGTCAAACACAATTAAACTTCGGTCAGCATTTTTACATAGCAACAAATAATTTGAAGCAAAAAAAAGTGGAATATACGTTCAAAGATGTGACAAAAATATTGTTTTATTTTTACCTTTTTCTTTAAACACAATTAGCCATCAAATAAATACAGTTTCAAAAGTTTTGGAAAATCGTCTTTTTAGTTTTGTTTCAACTAAAGCTTCAGTAATTTTCTGTTTATGACGATTGAAATTACTCCAAAAATTCTGTTTTTTCAAGAAATTTTATTACTGCTAATAATACTGAACAAAAAAAATATCTTAAAATACGAATATCGTAGATAAAAAAGAAGCCACAAAGCAAAGTATTCTTGTATAAAGTATGAGTTTTGTTTATCATTAAATTTTGGATAATAGTAAAATGTTCACCGCTGAAAATAAATTGACAAAGAATACTGAAATGCAACCTTCTTACAGGTTTAGTTTTAACCACAAAAGATGAAATAAAAAAGCACAAAGAAGGCTTTTTTTGATTTGAAAATCGATATTGGACAAAACGGTAATAAGTGCAGACATAATAGTATCAC